CAAAAATTGGATAATAGATGGTTTGGTGGACGTAGGATAAGTGCATTGTTATATGACTTCAAAAGATTTCAATTAGGCAATTATTCAAATTAAAGAAAACATGGAAACATCAATTATATACATTTTGTAGAGAAAATAATAATTAATTATAACCTGTCCGTTGAAACAAGGGTTATACTGTATGGTGCGTACCACCTACCTATACCCATTCAAAAACACCAATCAGTCTGAAATTTTGATTATAGATCTCCCAAAATCTTTTTTTGTTCCATCATTCATTGTTAAATTGTTTATCATTGTTATAATTATTCCACTATTGTTTTATTAAAAATGGGTAAACATCAATTAAGGCTCCAAACAAATCAATGAAGTTCAAACCAAATCAAATCAAATCAAATCACCTAATTTTGGTTTGAATCAGTTCAAATTGAATTAAATCAAATTCAAATTGTGCTTTGATTTGATTTATTTGAACTGATTTGAATCTATAGCAATTATTATCATTCATTAGTTATTTAGATTTAATGAATTGTACAACTGTAAATTGTATTACTTTTTTATTTGTCATTATGTTATCATTATTGTTATCAATAATAATATGATAGTGACCTTACTTAGTGGCTGAAATTGCCTCATTAATTGGGCCTAAAACTAATTTTAATGGCTGAAATTAGAAATTATTTTAAAATAAAGTAGATTGATTAAATACTTATTATATGTATTTGGCAAAACTACCTTTTTTCAAAATAGTTTCAGCCACCATCACTAAATAATATCCTTTATCAATTAAAAAATTTTAAATTTAAAAATATACACAATCTTGGTTTGGGTCTGATTCATTTCATTGACAGTCATTTCGTCAACACCCATTTCATCAAAAGTTTGTTTCATCAAAAGTTCATTTTGTCGAATGTTCGTTTTGTCACAAAAAAAAAACTTCATTAAACAAATTCTCCTCACACTTCCCACACACCCTGCTTTTCTCACCTAATTTCTTAACTACCCACACTCCTCATTTGGTCTCTGGCTCAAGGATGAAATAATTTTCAATGAAATGAACATTTGATGAAATGAGCTTTCGATGAAACAAACTTTCAACAAAATGGGTGTCAACAAAATGATTGTCGACAAAATAATTTTCAATGAAGTAAATGCAACTGCTTGGACCGCTTGGTAGAGTGTAGATAATTAGTAATTAGAAAAGATTTTTATTATTATATTACACTCAAACCTTGTCACAGCAGACTATAATTAGATTCTCATCATAACAGATTTTTAAAAATTTTGCTTCATATATACTAATATATAAAACCCATTATATTGAGAAGAATATTATTATTAATTAAATCAAGGCAACATAAATTTAATATGACATTAAAAAAAAATTTAGGAATTCAAATCTAAGGCTCCAAACAGATCAGATCAGATCTTATTAATTGCAATCTGTTTTAAATCAGAGCAGACCAGATCAGATCAAAGCCAGACTAGATCAGATCAGATCCTACTTAATTGCAATCTGTTTTGAATCAGATCAGATAAAAATTCTTAATTCAGAATTTCTTTCATAAATGATTTTTTATAAATTTTATTATTATTATATATAATATCTCAGATCAGATCTCAGGTTCTGGATCAGATCAGATTCAGTATTTTATATTATGCATTGAATCAAAGTCAGCCAGTGAAAATACTTTGTGAGTTTAATATGTATCAAAATAAACAATATCCATTAATGAAATCACTTGGAATCAATGGAATGGTGACATATTAAATTATTGGGATTGGTGTGGCAAAGAAAACAACTGAGTTGGATTATGTAGCTAAAAGAATTTTCAGTGTATGCATAAACTTTGTGTCAATTTAAAGATTATGGTCTTCTACAGGATTTTTACATAGAAAGACTTAATGTAAGTTTTTTTATGACACTACATTGAGATTTTTTCCATTTTAATTAATTATTTTTTATTGTAATATAAAAAGGGCAATTAAAATGGCACAAATTCAAGGAATTATCAATCAACTCATAGAAAACAAGATCTTGAGTTGATTAAAAATATGTATCATTCTAATTCTGCACAAATTTGAACTAGGATGATCAGACTGATATGATTGAATTTAATGAAAAAAGTCACAATTATGGTGAACCTAATCATGAAGATTTAAGTGAAGGTGATGTAAATAATAATCATAAAGGAAATTGGTAGTCAACATTATCTTTATGGAAAAGAATGTTAGTAACTGAAGGCATACCCTTTTTGAAGATGAAGAAAATGAAACAACTACAAATGGTGATGGAATTAATGAGATGATTCTATTATTGAAATTAAACTGAATAAAATAAAATAAATATTATCAATAATAAATATTATGGACTGGACTATTCTAGTACAGTCCAGTCCGGTTAATTATTGGAACAGTCCAATGGCCAACGAAAAATTGGACTCTCTGCAGCACATTGGACCAAAACTGGACTTAGTCAAGTGGTCCAGTCCAGCCAATCCAATGAATATAAAAACTGGACTTAATCAAGTTGCCAACACTGTTCGTGCTGTATAAGAATTTTTATGATTTAAAAATTCACATGATTTCTATATTTGGGAAAAAAACCAAAATTTTCCGTATTTGTTATTTTAGAAATTCGGCAGTTTGGCGCGGTTTTGGGAGGTCTAGACCATACTAATACTAATACATACATTGTTGAAAAAAATAAATTTGGGGTTTTCATTTGTGACTAAACCCTATTTAAATCTTGGTGTAAAAGTAATATATATTATTAACATATATATATTGAAATTAATTTTATAGGAATCACACAAAATGTCACAAGATTATAATGCCAGTGGACAATTTCTTGAGGAAACCTCGAGTATTGAATATAGTATAAACATAATTCAAAAGAATATTGAGCGTATTCAAATGTTGCAAACACATATTCTAGTGAGTACTTCAATACAGCAGGAGGATAGTAGCAATAAAGAGCGTGAAGAGCTTATATTAAATACCAAAAATATACTTTTTGAAATTAAGAATCGTATCAAAAAAATTGAATATGAAAATGTTAAATTACCAAAAAATGATCCAAATGTCAGTCTTAGGAAACAAAGATATGAATATCTCAAAGAGAAATTCACCAATGTACTTGAAGAATATCGTGGTGTTGAAGATATTTACATGAGACAACAGAAAGAAAGGACAGCGCGTCAATATAGAGTTGTAAATCCGGAAGCAACTCAAAGTGAAATTGACAATTATTTGAGTGATCCATCAAGTCAACCCCTTTTTCAACAAGCTTTGATTCATACAGGCGAAGCTCATGCAGCATTTGCCGAAGTTCAAAAACGTCATAATGATATAAAACAGATTGAAAAAACAATCGAGGAATTAGCAAATTTATTTCGTGAAATGCACTTACAAGTTGAAGAACAAGATTCTGTACTTGTAAGTGTTGAAGAATCTGTTGAAGAAACCTTGATTAACACTAAACAAAGTAATGGTTAATATGTGTAATTATTTATTCAGTGAATGAGTGAATAAATTTGTTCATTTATTTAAAATTTAAATTTAAAAATTTTTTTAGGTGAAGGTTTTATTGAAAAGGCAAATGAGAGTGCAGTTCAAGCAAGAAAAAAGAAGTGGATTTGCTTAGGAATTACATTTGTTCTTCTTGTTATTATGATAATAGTTATAATAATACAATTTGGTCCTAAAGAAGCTATAAAGTCATCTCCAACTCATGTCGCTGCTGTAGCAGAAACTTCTTCTGCATTACTTGGATTAACACCAGCTCCTTCAAACACTTAGAATAATGTAATAATAAATCAATCATTATTATATTATTCAAATTGTATATTATATAACTATTTTTATTCTTTTTATTCGTGATATTATGGTGTGTCAATAAAAAAATTAGAATCTTGGAATGCATAACCATCATAAAAAATAAAAAATTTGTAATGATTATTAATCCGCCAATCATAATTTATATTACAAAAAATAACAAATATATATTTTTTTTTTTTGAAAATAAAATTTTAATATAATGGCAGAGCAACTTGCAAGAGGAAATCAATATCAATATACAGCTAACTCAAATCTTGTACTTCAAGCTAATAGATCTGAATTACCTCGTAGAGATCATGAACCTTCAGGTGAGCCTGAATCTTTATGGGGCAAAATTAATCCTAAAGAATTTGGTTCAAGAGCTGAACGGGGTACAATAAAAGATCTAGAAGTAAAAAAGAAAAAGGCACAACAAGCTGCAGAAGCTGAAGAAAAAAGGGAACGAAGAAAAGAAGAAAGGTATGTTTTATTATTATTGATGTTGAGTATCTGTATATTTTTTAGGATTTTCTAAAAATATTAATAATACAAAAAATAAATAATTATTGATTGGTAGTGCATTGAAAAAAGCATATGGTTATTCAAATGTTTTGGCTGCCACTGAGTCTTATGACGGTTTGTCATACAGACCTAGAACAAAAGAAACCAGAGACACATATGAATTAATCTTAGCTTTTGTGCACCAGAATCTTGTTGATCAAGCTCAAGATGTTATTCTTAGTGCTACCGATGACATACTTCAAATATTAAAAGATGATAGCCTTAAAGATTTTGATAAAAAGAAAAAAATAGAATCTGAAATTGGAGCTATCTCATCAGAAAGATTTGCACAATTAGTAAATCTTGGAAAAAAAATATCAGATTATCATGGCGGTAATGCCATGGATTTGGAAAAAGATGAATACGCAGGTGAAATTGATGATGAATTAGGTGTGGCTGTTGTTTTTGACGAGGAAGAAGAGGAAGATGACGAATTTGGAAAATATGAAATAGAATCTGAGGACGAGGAAGAAGATGAAGGTGGTGTAGAGGCTGAAACAGGCGGTGTATTAGGTGTAGGTCAAATTAGTGATGATAAACACACTGCAATAAATTCTGAAGATGAAGAAAAAGAAGAAAATAATGATGTATTTAAAACCGTAATTGGTCCTAAAATTACTCATTCAAAGAAAATAACTGGTATACAATCTGATCAAAAGATCTCTCCACATGATATTGATGCCTTTTGGCTTCAACGTCTAATATCAAATTATTACCCTGATCCACATACTGCTCAAGAAAAAACTTCAAATACAATGCAGATTCTTGCTTCAGATATTAATAAACGTGATTGTGAAAATGAATTGATGAAATTGTTCAATTATGACAAATTTGATTTGGTTAAAGTTTTAACAAGAAATCGAGAATTGATATTATGGTGTACTAAATTGGCTAGAGTTGGTGCAGAAGGTACAGAACGTCAAAGCATCGAGGAAGAAATGCATAGTCATGGATTAGAATGGATTTTAAAAGCTCTTGGTGGTGAAAGGATACGTAGAGGCGAAGGTGCTGCAAGAAAAGGTGTTGTTGAAGATGCAATGGAAATAGATCAAGAACCTTCTATTGTACATGGCCCTGTTCCACAATCAATAAAAGCTTCATTACCTACTGGAAAATCATTAACACCCAAAGCTATTATAGACCTTGATTCTTTAGCTTTTACGCAAGGTGGCCACTTAATGTCCAATAAAAAATGTAAATTGCCTGATGGTTCATTCAAACGATCCATGAAAGGCTACGAAGAAATTCATGTACCTGCTCCTAAAGTTAAACCTTTGGGTGCTGATGAAAGATATATTCCAATTTCAGAATTGCCAGCCTGGAGTCGTAAAGCCTTTTCAGGAGCAGAAAAACTTAATCGCATCCAAAGCAAGTTATTCCCTGTTGCATTTGGTGACGATGAAAATATATTACTTTGCGCCCCAACTGGTGCAGGTAAAACAAATGTTGCCATGCTGTGTGTTCTTAACGAAATTCGAAAATATATTGATGAAGAAACTGGAAAAATAGATATGGACTCGTTTAAGATTGTTTATATTGCTCCAATGAAGGCTCTTGTACAAGAAATGGTTGGAAATTTTGGTAGTCGATTGGAATCTTATGGCATTAAAGTTGCAGAATTAACTGGTGATCGACAACTCACTAAACAGCAAATTTCTGAGACACAGATGATTGTAACAACACCTGAAAAATGGGATGTTATTACCAGAAAAGCAACGGATCGCAGTTATACTAATCTTGTAAGGCTCATTATTATTGATGAAGTGCATTTGCTTCATGATGATCGTGGTCCTGTGCTTGAAAGTATTGTAGCTCGTACAATTCGCCACATGGAACAAACTCAAGAACACATTCGATTGGTTGGACTTTCTGCTACACTTCCCAATTATGCTGACGTTGCAACATTTTTACATGTAGACCCTAACAAAGGATTATTTTATTTTGATAATACTTTTAGACCATGCCCATTAAAACAAGAATTTGTAGGTGTAACTGAGAAAAAAGCTATCAAAAGATTTCAAGTCATGAATGAATTAACATATCTAAAAGTGATGGATCAAGCTGGAAAAAATCAAGTTCTTGTTTTTGTTCATTCACGTAAAGAAACTGCAAAAACTGCAAAAACAATAAGAGACATGGCATTAGAAAAACAGACTACAGGTCAATTTCTTAGAGAAGATTCTGCTAGCTGTGAAATTTTGCGCGATGAAGCAAAAACTGTCAAGGATAAAAATCTTCAAGACTTGTTACCTTATGGTTTTGCTATTCATCATGCAGGAATGACAAGAATCGATCGTAAACTTGTTGAGGAATTATTTGCAGATGGTCATATTCAAGTTCTTGTATCTACAGCTACGTTAGCTTGGGGAGTCAATTTACCTGCACATACTGTGATAATCAAAGGTACGCAAATATATTCTCCTGAAAAAGGCCGTTGGGTTGAACTTAGTCCACAGGATGTTCTTCAGATGTTGGGACGTGCAGGCCGTCCACAATATGATACAACTGGTGAAGGTATTATAATAACTTCACACACAGAACTTCAATATTATCTCTCTCTTTTGAATCAACAACTACCGATTGAAAGTCAATTTATTAGCAAATTGGCTGATCATTTAAATGCTGAAATTGTATTAGGTACTATTAGAAACCGTGAAGAAGCAATTCAATGGTTGGGATATACTTATCTTTATGTTCGTATGTTACGTAATCCTACTCTTTATGGCATTTCACTAGACTATTTGGATGAAGATCCTTATCTTGAACAGAAACGTGCTGATTTAATTCATTCAGCTTCATTATTGTTGGACAAATCTAATTTAATCAAATATGATAAAAAAACAGGTAGATTCCAAGTTACCGAATTAGGCCGTATAGCTTCACATTTTTATATAACACACACTTCAATGGCGACCTATAATCAACATTTGAAACCTATGATGGGCCACATTGAACTTTTCCGTGTATTTGCTCTATCTGATGAATTTAAATATATTCCGGTCCGTGAAGAAGAAAAACTTGAATTGTCAAAATTGCTTGAACGTGTCCCTGTTCCTGTTAAAGAAGGAATTGAAGAACCAACAGCAAAAATTAATGTATTATTACAAGCCTATATCTCGTCATTAAAGTTAGAAGGATTTGCTTTAGTATCAGATATGGTTTATGTTACTCAATCAGCTGGCAGAATTCTTCGTGCTATGTTTGAGATTTGCCTTAAACACGGTTGGGCGCAACTCTCTAGGAGAGCTTTAAATCTTTGCAAAATGGTGGAAAAACGAATGTGGCTTTCAATGACACCATTACGTCAATTCAAACAATTATCAATGGAAATGATAAAAAGAATTGAGAAAAAAGAGTTTCCTTGGGAAAGATATTTTGATTTGAATGTTCAAGAATTGGGCGAACTTATTGGTGTACCTAAAGCTGGAAAAATGCTTCATAAACTTGTTCATGAATTTCCCAAAATAAATTTAGACATGACTGTGCAGCCTATAACAAGGTCATTGTTGAAAATTGAATTAGAAATTGAACCAGATTTTCAATGGGATGAAAAGGTTCATGGAAATGCTGAGGCCTTTTGGATTATAGTTGAAGATGTGGACGGAGAGGTTATTCTTTACCATGATTTATTTATTCTAAAACAAAAATATGCAGAAGATAAGCATTATATAAAATTAACAGTGTCATTGTTTGAACCTTTACCACCAAATTATTTTGTTTCTGTTATTTCAGATAGGTGGTTACACTGTGAAACAAAATGGCCAATTTCATTTAAACATCTGATACTACCAAAGAAATATCCTCCTCACACTGAACTTCTTGATTTACAACCATTACCTGTTTCCGCTTTACAAAATAATGAATATGAGGCCGTTTACAATGAATGGGTTGATAAGTTTAATCCTATTCAAACACAAGTATTTAATGCTTTGTACAATTCAGATGATAATGTATTTGTTGGAGCACCTACAGGAAGTGGAAAAACTGTTTGTGCAGAGTTTGCATTGCTCCGACTATGGTCTAAACCAAATCCTGGTCGATGTGTATATATTGCGCCATTTCAAGAGGTTGTTGATCGGCAGGTTGTTGAATGGAAACAAAAATTTGGCAGGATTAAAGGTGGAAAGAACATAGTATCGCTTACTGGTGAGACAAGTGCTGATCTACGATTGTTAGAAAGCGGCGATGTAATATTTGCAACTCCAACTCAATGGGATGTCATGTCACGTAGGTGGAAGCAACGAAAAAATGTTCAAACAGTTTCTCTATTTATTGCCGACGAGTTGCATTTAATTGGAAGCGATATAGGACCAACATATGAAATTATTGTTTCTCGAATGAGATATATTGCACATCAAACTAAAAATTCAATTCGGATTATTTGTCTGAGTACATCACTTGCTAATGCTCAAGACCTCGGAGAATGGATAGGGGCAAAGCCCCATACTATATTTAACTTTCATCCTAGTGTTCGACCTGTTCCTTTAGAAATACACATACAAAGTTACAACATCCCACATTTTGCATCATTAATGATGGCTATGTCTAAACCTACATATGTTGCAATTACAACATATTCAGTAGACAAGCCAGCAATTGTCTTTGTTCCTTCACGTAAACAGTGTCGCCTGACAGCTGTAGATTTACTTACATTTTGTGCAGCAGATGGATCAAACGATCGTTTCCTCCATGCCAACCATGAAGATATTGAAAAACATCTAAGCAATCTAAATGATAACGCATTGGCAGCTACATTGAGTCATGGCGTTGGATATTATCATGAAGCTCTTAGTAAACAAGATAAAAGGATTGTAGAGCAATTATTTGAGAGTGGAGCTATTCAAGTGGTTGTTGCTTCACGTGATACCTGCTGGGGCTTGAATTTAAATTGTCACATGGTTGTTATTATGGGAACTCAGTACTATGAAGGAACATCACACATGTATGCCGACTATCCAATATCTGATGTTCTTCAAATGATGGGTCGAGCTTGTCGTCCACGTCAAGATGATACAGGACGTTGTGTGCTTATGTGTCAAGGAATTAAAAAAGATTTTTATAAGAAATTTTTATATGAAGCATTACCGGTTGAGTCACATTTACACAACTTTTTGCATGATCATTTCAATGCAGAGATAGTCACCAAAACAATAGAAAATAAGCAAGATGCAGTTGATTATCTGACATGGACATTTTTGTATCGCCGTATGGTTGAAAATCCCAATTATTATAATATGCAAGGATCTGACCATAGACATTTATCAGACCATTTGTCAGACCAAGTTGAAAACACAGTGCTTCAACTTGCAGAGGCACAATGTATAACAATCGAAGATGAGTTAGACTTGGCACCTTTAAATTTGGGAATGATTGCAGCTTATTACAATGTCAGCTATGAAACTTTAGAAACATATTCTAAGGCCTTAACGGAAAAAACTAAACTCAAAGGACTTTTAGATATTATTTCAGCTGCCAAAGAATTCTTTTATATTCCAATTCGACATCATGAAGACATTGTTTTAAAAAGGATTTATGATCGACTTCCATTTAAACTTGGAAATCCTGATTTTAATTCAACCAGAACAAAGACCAACATTCTTTTACAAGCACATTTTTCAAGAACTCAGTTGCCACCAGATTTGTCTTCTGATCAAAATATTGTATTGGGAAAGGTAATAAGAATTGTTTTATGATTTTAATTAAAAAAATTTTAATTGTTAATAATTAAAAAAATAAAAAATAAATTCATATATTATTTATTAGATAATTCCTTTGATTCAAGCAATGGTGGATGTAATTAGTTCTAATGGATATCTTAACCCAGCAATAGCAGCAATGGAATTAGCACAAATGTGTGTACAAGCTATTTGGGATCAAGATTCACCATTGAAACAAATTCCATACTTTACAACGGATCTTATTAAACGTTGTGAAAAAAAGGGAATTGAATCAGTATTTGATATTATAGATTTGGACGATGATGATCGAAACAGTTTACTTCAAATGAACAATAAACAACTTCGAGAAGTTGCTCGTTATGTTAACAGGTATCCAAATATAGAATTTAACCATGTTTTATTGGACAAAGATGAACTTGTGGCAAATTCACAGGGTACCATTGAAGTATCATTGAATCGAGATATTGATGAAGAGGACGAAGAAGATTTTAATATAGGACCAGTAATTGCACCATTCTTTCCGTTGAAAAAAGATGAAGGGTGGTGGATTGTAGTTGGTATTTCAAATGATAATTCATTACTTGGCATCAAACGTATCACACTTAACAAACGGCTTAGAATCAAATTAGATTTTACATGTCCAAATAAACCTGGCGAATACAAATTGAGAATATATTTTATGTCCGATTCTTATGTGGGATGTGATCAAGAATTTGATGTTGATATTGATGTTAAAAAGGGTGTAGAAGAAGAAAGTGAAGAAGGGGAAGAAGGCGAGGAGGAGGAAGAAGAGGGACAAGAAGAGGAAGTTGATAAAATGGAAACTTGAGATTTTATTTTTATTTAATTAGCGAATAGAACGTTTGTTATGATAGTATTCAAATATATTTAATTTTTTAATAATAATAAAAAAAAAGTTAGGCCGCTTATTAAATTTTTAACGGTTGGCTTGGCCAGCTTGGAAAATAATATGTACTATATAAATATATGAAGATAAATAAATAAAACAATGCATTGCCTTAGAGACGTGGCATGCGCATGAAAAAAAAAAGCGACGCGCAATTTCTCATCCTTGCAAAAACCAATTTTGAGTCTGCTTGGGTCCCTGGGTTCTTCGGTGCACAATCTTTTGACGGATTCAATAAAATAAAATAAAAATCACTTGCGTAATAATAATATTGAAGAGCAACAGAATAATAATAATAACCAAAAATACATTTGACCCTTCTTTTGTTGGTCTCCCTTCCCTATTAAAGGAGCTTTACTCCTTATTCCCAAAAAAGCTCGATTTCTGAAGGGAAGGGTTGATGTTATTTTTATTTCTGTTGCCCTCCTTTTCCTTGTCGTTGGCTTTTTGTTGACTATTTGGGGTAGAAGTCCATGTACATCATAGTTGAGGTTTCAACAGGTCCTTCAAAAAAAAGACCCGAATACGAAATTTCAATAAAACCCACAACCCTCCGGCCATCATGAAGTTTTTATTGCATCATATCTTTCGTATCTGGTTGATTAACCTTTACTTAATTGATAAAGGAAGATTAGTATGACTGTAATATTTATTCCGAAACAAATATATATAGGTTTAGGTTTTCCAAGAAATTCATCTAAAGTTAGGATTTTGAATTCTTTAATCTTCTTTAGTCCAGCCTAATATGTTTGTGAAAAATATCTATAAAATAAATTTCCTTACGCTTACACAAAACCATTTTTTAATTATACATAATAATAATCTCACTAGATTAATTGATTTACTGATGTTGTTTCAGAAGATCTTCCCTGCTAATTGATGATAATTCATTCACTAATAAAGTCATCTTTAGCAATAAAATAATTAAGATGTTATGTGTCACTTACTCCTAATCCTGTTCCTAATGATATGGAGACAGATACTTGATAAAGAAAATGTGCAAAAAAAAAACAGTATTATCAAAGTTATGAAAGACTTTTCCAAAGATTTAGCATCTCTGTTTCAGTAGCTAAACAACAAGTAATTAATACTGCTACTTTAGCATTTTAAGCAAAAGAATTAAAGGTAATTTAATTAAAGACAATTAGAACAAGAAAAAAAAATCCTGGTTATTTAAATATTGGTTTATTGAATAAACAAAAAGAAAAAAGAGAACAAGGAAAACAAATGCTATTCAGGAACTATAAAATAAAGTTAATAAAGTTAAGGAATTAGGAACTAAACAAAAGAAAAGGCCCAGATGTTGGCCAGGCTAAATAAAGTCAGTGCAGAAAAATTGAATTAACTAGATGAAGCCTGAATAACTAAGTCAAGGCTAAAGTGAAAGAAGAGCAAACTCGGTAACGAGTTTATACATTTGGGACTGGTTATCTTATATGAATGTGAAACAAAAACGGTGACTAATATTAATATTAATAATATATATATTGATTCAACATATATACTTTATTATTATTATTATTATTATTATTATAATACTTTAACTGTTTGGCATTGATGAGTAAAAATTAGTTCTCTATGCAATAAATCAAAAATAATTTAGGATTAGACGTCAACGAAAAAATAATATAGGATAAATAGGATAGAAAATGAACAAACAAACAAACCTTTAACCATTCTTCAATAAAAGGTTTTATTAATGCTGCAAATAATAAACCACATGTAATTATTATGTAAAAATAAACTATTGCTTCGTCTTTGTAAGAATCTCGTTCTATATATAAAATTAAATATAAATTATGGCACTTCTTTTTTTCTTGTTGACCAATTCTTTAAAATTAACGTACCAAAACATGTTGCAATTGCTTGAATGTCACAAACATTACCAGAGTCATCATTATTAACGCCAGAACATTCGTCGCCCATTTCTTGTATACAAAAAGCCTTATTACATTCTGAACAAAGAGTACCTACTTCCAGAGCAAAAATTGTAGAATTTTCACCACAAGTACATTTACAAAATGGAATAACCTTTGCAGCTTGAATAGTTGGTAATAATGTTATTAAAAATGCTGTTAATGTAAAACTAATTAATACTAATAATTGGAACTTTAACATTATCAAAAAATCTTCAAAATAAGCAAATGTAACACAAAAAATAAATTATTGATATATATAGTTCTCTCAAATAATTTTATTGAATATTTCCACTGATTTTGATAAATTCTGACAGGTCTAATAAAAATGCCTTTTTATAATAATTAAATACTTCCACAATTTCAATATTTAGAAATAAAACAAATATCAATATTCTATACGAGCACACAGTGAATCTCGATTTAGCGGAAATCTCGGTTTTACGGATAAAAGTTCCTTAATAAAAACCTTCTCGATATAGCGAATTTCTCAGTTTAACGGATTTTTGGGAAAAATTTCCCTAATTGCCCAAACTATCCGTTAAACCGAGATTTGCTGTGTATTTTTAATGATCAAAACGAATTTCTCCATCACTTGAATACTCATTGGTCGCATTTTTCTCGGGAGTATCAATTGTTTCAAAAGAAATATCATTTCTTGCCTGCTTCTTGATATCCTCAATAGTTTTACGAACTTGGCCTTAAGCTCTGCATCTCTCGACCTCACCTCACACTTGGCATCCTTTCTCACAATCTGTTTTCCCAGCATCAAGGTCTGCAATTCATTGTCTCGATAAGTCTAGTTCAAATTGCATATAATTGCATGTGAAATCGGAAAAATAAAACCATACTATTACTATTACTATTACTATTACTATTACTATTAACCATTTACAAAGTTGGACATGAGTATACAAAGTTAATAAATTATAGGCTTGATGCAGGCGAACTCTTATTAATGATATTTTTTTCGATGTAGCATGTAATAAAAAACTATAAAGCTGTGTGACAAAACGAATATACACTACCTGGACAAATAATTGCATAAAAACGTACATAATAAATATACAAAAAAAACAATGTCGTTTTGTAACCTAGGTACTTATTAATCTATATGCAAATTTTCATTTCTCTAACGTTTCTAAAAAAAATAATAAATAAAAAGATAAAACTTGATCCGAATTTTTTTCCCCAAATATTCCCACTTCAAAAAAAAAAAGAATTGAATAAAAACGTGCATTATAACCTCATCTGAAATTTTAACATATGGTAATACGCATCTTAAATAACCATCTGCGATGTTATGAATTTTTTGTAAGCAAGCTTGATTTTTAATAAATATTTTTGAAAATTTAAAAAAAAAATTAAAAATGTTGGCTTTGACTGAAATTCAACGTAGCGAAATTATTTGTCTTTACAAAAATAATGAACCCATTTCCAAAATAGCCAAAATTCTTGATATTCATAGAACAACAATATCTCGTACTATTAAAAAACATGTTGATGGTGAAGGTCTTGCTACAAAGCAGCGAAGTGGTCGCATTACAGGAAGAATGGAGTAAAATTCCAATGGATGTCCTATTGAAACTGATAGAAAGTATGCCAAGGAGAATAGAAGCTGTTATTAAAAATAATGGTGGCCAACCAAATATTGATTTATTATTTTTTTTAGAAACGTTAGAGAAATGAAAATTTGCATATAGATTAACAAGGATCTAGGTTACAAAACGACATTATTTTTTGTATATTAATATGTACGTTTTTGTGTAATTATTTGTTTTAAGGGTGTGCGTGACTTTTGTCCAGGTAGTGTATATCAACTAAAGACTATACATGTTATATGTGACGTGATTGGTTAATCAAGTGAAACCTTTTATGTTTTCAGAAACACAAATAAAAATAAATCGTGTTAAATAATCCTGAAATCATAAATAATTCTCATGATTACCGCATTTCCTAAGAATCAGTATTCACACAAGATTTATCACCTCATAATCACTTCAAACGATTCTTGCTTCAGAATATTTTCCCATTCTTCTCTCCTTGCGCTGAGCAGCCAACTCTTCTTTTGTGAGATGAACATACATCTAAACAATGATAACCTTATTATTAACACAAACACAAATAACAACACCTTGCAATAACAGACGATGAATTTGTGTATATACTTACTACCCACTTGATTAAAGCTTTGTAGTCAAAAACAAAATTTGGAATATCCACCAAATCCTTCAGGTCTACTTTGAACAAATAATATATGCTAATGATCACATAAAATCAATCTATAGGAATACACACACTTCCTGGTCATATATATAAGGACACTTGCAGATCATCGGAAAAAAAATAAAAATTCTTATTATCCTAATCACACTTCTTATTGTTATTAAGTAAAAAATTGATCTCATATCAAATAGTTTAATATAAATAAAAATTTGTTGTTTTATGAACTTTAAAAATAAAAATGAATTTTTTGGAATTTTTAAAAAAATCTTTACCTCGAAAATTGACCTTTGTGGTATAAGTAAAAAAATGCGTCCCATGTTTAATTCTAGTTACATCCAAAATTTTAGATCATTTGGTAATTAATTGTACATCACCATAAAGTTTTACATATTACATACCACGAAATCCATCACTGTGAGAGATACTTTGGTCTTACAAGCCGTGGCACCGTATGTTTGAAGACTAGTATAGAGCTGTCGTCGTTCAGTGGTCTCTGAAGCAATTGTATGATCGAATAGTTGTGCAATATTTCTGATGTTCTTCTTGTCATCACTGACAATTTTTTTTATTTTCATTCCTAGTTTTGCCCTTCCATGCAATCGAGCTGATAATTTGAAACATCATTAAGGAACCTGCATTGGTTTTTATTTACCCTGCAAAATGGTTTTACCACCAATGAAATTATGCAAGCATGCTCATGAACAATGTAATTAATTATATGGAAATCAAGGAAATCCACAAGGAACAATCAATAAATGGATGTACAAACTGATTGAGATGTGGTCTCCCAAAAGTTGAGACATCTTTCAATGGGTTCAATGAATCCAAAGAAAAGTCCTTTACACTGTACGTAATAGAATTAGTAGTTTGATATGGATTTTGTAGAATAAAATTTTCAACTTACAATCACCCAGTGTGAGGTTGTCTGCTAAAGCCAGTTTAGCCTGATGCCAAAAAATAAAACGTCCTACATAGTAATAGTGTCGAAATTCCCAAACTATAGTTTCGGCATTATTTTTCATGATTTCTATTTGGATAAGGTTTATTTATTTGTTTTATTTGTTATGAATTTGATTGAGTATTCAAATTACATTGAAATTTTATTCGAATAAGATAATAAAACAAATAATTGAATAAAATGAATAAACGAGTAAATTGAGTAAAATGAATAATAATAACGATAAAACGAATAATTCGAATAAAACAATAAAACGAATAAAGCAATAAAACGAGTAATTCAAATAAAACGAATAATTTGAATAATAATAATCATAATAACAATAAAATAATTCGAATTAAGTTGTATTACGAATAGAAACTCTAGACTAAATGATCAGTTAATATTATTAACAAATAGTCGATTTCCAACCTCTAGGGTAATAAACTACGACGAAACTATATTAAAATCTTACTAGCAGTTATACCAAAAGTCAGCTATAGTTTTGGCAGTTTCGGCAAGCAACCTTACTTCGGTGTCTCCTTTCGTATCTTTTAACTGTTCTGAGTCTTTCATCGCAAATTGATATACTTCAAAATGTTTTACACCATCCTTGATGTCCACGGTCAGTCTGTAAGATAATTATGATCATCTGTAACACAATCATTGTCTATCTCATCAAAAATTTCATTGCAGAAACTGATCCTGCAAATTTTGATTAAAGTTGGTGTCGGTAACTGTTTTCACATTTTCTACAGATATTAAAGCTTGAGTTGCAACATTTTCTGCAACATTGGTTTACAATTTTTTAAAAATTTTTTTTTAAAGAGAATGAACTTCCCGTTGATCAATCGTGAGATAATAATAATTATCCGAGGTCCTAGTGCTCCCTTGGGACCTCGGAGAGAATCTTCTCAAGAAATACAAAGCTCGTTTTTGTGCGCAGTCAAGCCCCTTTTTTATTCACAAAAAAGATTTTCATTCAATTTGTGTCAAAATAGAATAAAATTCACGATCAAAAAAATATTTAATTGTTAAGCCAACTTTAAACATGTTAGATTTTACAGATTGGAAACCTGATAGATTTAGAACCTTGCATAAACAATTAGAATTAGTTTCTTCTTCAACAACTGATTCTTCTTTAAAAGATCTATGTCATAAACTTCAGGAAAACAAAAATTGGCTTGTAAATCTGTTAGATTTTCCTGCTCAAAATTCAGCAAGTCGACAAAAACTACAAAAAGGTTAGTAATCCATCCAAATAAAGTGTCAAAAAAAGTATTTATAATAATGATCTCGCAGAAAAAATTTTTTCTCATCTATAATAATAATAATATTATATCAGGAACTGTCATTATAAACAAATTTGAATACAAATTTCCCCCAGATATAATCACTGAAACAATTTCAATATCTGATTTTCTCAAGATTGATGAACTTTTTGCAGCTACTCTTTTTTATCATGGCACAAAAAATTGTACAAAATTTGGTAGATCAGCTCCTGAAACTGCAATATTGCTTTTTCTCCAAGAACGAGGTTATTTGTTAGTTTGTTTATCAATTCTTATTGGAAATTCATATAATGATGATATTGATCTATCTGCCAGAGAAAAATTAGCCAATTTCACTAACAGTGTTGTAGATTTGATTTCAAGATATAACAAAAATATCACGTTTGCAAGAAAGCTTATGTCATATATTGACAAACTAAAAGTTGAATTAACAGAACTAGAAGGGCGTTTAGAACAACTTACTACTCAATCACAAACTTTAATTTCAAAAGAACAATTAGAGGAATTAAATAAAGGTTTTATTTTGGTTAATTTTAATGCTGATGCTACTAAAGATCGAATCAGACAGACATCAATACAGCGTAGATATCTCGCATACAATCTATGGCTATACACTTACAATTACCTTTTAAATCCAATAGAGGTTATAGAATTAACTAAAATGTTGAAATTAATTGAAATTAAAGACATTGTTTTTCCTTACTTGTTAACTTCATTATTGTCTGCAACTGACACAACACCAGAACA